TTCTGCAGATGACAGGACTCAGAGTTGTACTGGAAGTCTGAGGTGTACAGTGTGAAGAGGAATGGTGAGAGTACAGTTCCTTGTGGTGCTCCAGTGCTACAGACTACCATCTCCGACACACAACCTTTCAGTCTCACAAACTGTGGTCTGTTTGTTAAGTAAACATAAACCCAAGTGGTTGTGGAAGGATCCACCTGGAAGTTATGGAGCTTCTCACATAGTAAAGCAGGCTGAATAGTATTGAAGGCACTTGAGAAATCAAAGAACATGACCCTCAAAGTGCTGCCTGACTGGTCCAGATGAGAGTGGGCTCTCTGAAGCAGGTAGATGATATTATTATATATGAGTTTAGAGAGTCTTTTTGGCAGTTTCTCAGGAGTAACTCAGGCCCCTCTTAAATACCTTGATTTTCATGGCTAAAATTTTTCAATTACACCAGTGTTGCCAATTTAGTTGGGTCCCTAAGGGTCCATAGTACAATACCAGCAGTGATGGTACTGTTTAATACTCACTCATGTCAATCAGACATTCTAAAGACTGCGACCAAACTAACCTGTGGAAAAAGTCTGGTAGGGAGAACAAAAATGAAACGGCAGTACTAAAAAACATCAATCGAAGTTATACATGAGCTAGAGGGTTATATTCATACAAAACAATTTATAAAAACATATACTGTGGTGTAAAAGTCTGAAACCTTTTCAAAGATCTATGTGAACCTGGAAATAATTATAAAGTTTTAGAATTTATAAACATTGAAAAGCATAGGTGCTGACATGTTACCTGAAGAAAAAATACTGCCCTATGTTAAAACAGATCTATGTTAAAACAGAACAGTCACTGAGCAGTATTTGCAGCTAAATGACTACCTGAACACTCAACAAATAGCTTTATACATTATGATGGAAATAATTACATGACTAAATTAGTTACTTGGCTCCTTGCCCATCCTTCTTATCCTCCGAAGAATAGTACTTTTGTAATTTTCGCCTTCCCTGGTTGCATTCATTGGGGTCATACACTGGTCATCCTAAAGCTACGGGAACAGTTTTATGCTGTTTCCTGCCCAATAAACAATGTCCTCTTTTGCTGACACAAGGTCTTATGAGTGCGTATGATAGTGTGTGTGTGCGCGCACAATTCATGCCTTTTCTTGTTTTCGGAGTGTCAGAACAGGTGAGTGAGCAATAGCATGTTTGTGAAACAATGACATCGTTTGTGCATGTGCATCATCAAGACACCTGCGCCTGATTAATTAAGAACACTCACACATGTCCAGTGTTACATGAGTTGATGTCTTAGGTAAATGATCAACTAATCAGGTAACATGAGTAAATGATGAAACACAAAATTTACCTACATTCTATTTCTTGGTCAGCAAAAACACTGAAACATATTAGTGGTAGTAACCAAGTTAACTACACGAGTAAAATCATTCGCGCGAATGATTTACATGTAAAGTCAATGTGAAGACACGATTAGGCGCGATTGAGGCGTATTGAGCGAGTTTGACGCGATTTTAGACGCACCATGCGCGCGTTACGCGCCATATGCAAGTATGGCGCGTCTGAAGAGCAAGTTGAAAAATCTGAACTTTTGCGATCAGACGCGCCGCGATGGCCAATCCGCATTGAGATTCTCTGGTGAAGTCAACAACATGATTCATTCATTTTTTTTGCAGCTACACTGTGATTACTGATTGATTTACTCACACCAGGAGATAAGCAGTTACATTACTGGCCAAGGCAGATCTCAGTGCTCAGCAGACGGGCTGTCCTTCTCCTCCAGTTCACACACAAGAATGACACCCTTCAACTTAGCAAGCTAGCAAGCTGAGCTGCTAGCTATCGTAATGCTAGGGGGATAAACCTCCGCTGGCTCCTCGTCGTTGTGGTCAGCATACGCCTTCTGGCGGCCGCTCGTCCGTGTTGTTGTATGTGGCATGGAAAAACATCGCTCTATCTCAGCGAGCGCCTGTAGTTAGTATTCTGGAGGGATATCCTGGTACTGATCCTCTCCAACAGGTAGTCAAACTGGGTCAGCCGAAAACAGAGCTGGAAGCGGCCGTCATCCAGGCACAGCTCCTGGAGAAGGTGGAGGAATTCCCTGAGCTGTGTGCGTCTCTGGGGGATCCCCTGGATCCGGCGACATTCACGCGTGTGTGCACTGAGTTTACTCGCTTCATTCGCGCATATAATCGCGTCAATCGCGCCTCAAGATTTGTATCTGAATGTAAGTAATTAGCGCGAATGACGCGATCCAGACGCCAGATCCACGGGATCCCCCAGAGACGCACAATGGCCGGGGAATTCCCCCACCTTCTCCGGGCATTGCCTGGATGACAGCCGCTTCCAGCTCTGTTTTCGGCTGATCCGGACCTAGTTTGACTACCTGTTGAGGGGATCGGTACCAGGATATCCCTCCAGGATACTAACTACAGGCGCTCGCTGAGATAGAGCAATGCTTTTTTCCGTGCCACATACAACAACAGGGTGTTGTAGCAGTTGGTAGCACTGTTGCCTCGCAGCAAGAAGGTTGCCGGTTCGCGTCCCGGTGGGGGCGTGGAGTTTGCATGTTCTCCTCGTGCAGCGTGGGTTCTCTCCGGGTTCTCCGGCTTCCTCCCACACAGTCCAAAAACATGCTGAGGTTAATTGGTGATTCTAAATTGTCCGTAGGTGTGAATGTGAGTGTGCTTGGTTGTCTGTCTCTAAGTGTGGCCCTGCGATGGACTGGCGACCTGTCCAGGGTGTCCCCTGCCTTCGCCCTAAGTCCGCTGGGATAGGCTCCAGCCCCCCCGCGACCCTAATGAGGATTAAGCGGTGTATAGAAAATGGATGGATGGATACAACAACAGGGACAAGTGGCCGCCAGCAGGAGTACGTTGACCACAGCGACGAGGAGCCAGCGGATATTTATCCCGCTAGCATTGCGATAGCTAGCAACTCAGCTCGCCAGCTTGCCAAATTGAAGGGTGTCATTCTTGTGTGTGAACTGGAGGAGAGACTGCTGAGGACTGAGATCTGCCTTGGCCAGTAATGCAACTGCTTATCTCCTGGGGTGAGTAAATCAATCGGTAATCACAGTGTAGTTGCAAAAAATGAATGAATCATGTTCGTAATGTCACCAGAGAATCTCAACGCTGATTGGCCATCGCGGCGCGTCAGATCGCAAAAGTTCAGGGGGCTCAATTATCATCAGTGTGTACGCATAGATATGTGCGTAGAGCGTGCGTAGGAACATTCCTAGGCAAAGTATGGAATTTATCAACTTGTACTTATACTTAGGACTGTGCATAAATATACGCACAACTCTGACCATGCCTACGCACATAATCTAGCGGTAGAACAGTGAAACTACAAATAGAAAGTATTCTGGGATTTTGACCACCGGCACATTCCAGCGTGAGGTTGGAGACATATGCGGCATTTCCAGCCATCGTTGAGCAGGATCAAGACGGCAGTGTTGGATGCCATAACTCCCCTGGCCCCAGCCTACATCCAGTTCCCTTACATCCATCACCGATGAGCCCAAATCAAACGGGGACTTAACGCCGTCGCTGGATTCCCAAACATATGTGGAGCCATAGACTGCACCCACATCACAATCAAAGCAGCATCACTAAACGAGCTTAATTTTGTAAATAGAAAAGGGTTTTATTCAATCAACATACTGATAATTTGCGATGCGCATTTGTCGCTATCCAACATTGTTGCCCGGCGGTTTGGAGGAACGCACGACTCATTCATTGAGCAGAACAGCTCTGTGGGTGCGTCTCCAAGCAGGAGCTGCTGAAGACGGCTGGCTTAATGGTGAGTGTCACAGAGTGTGGAAACGTTTTAGCTGGACTTTGTTTGGTTATTAAAACATGTCAGCTGTAGTGATCAGGGTTATCCACTGGGTGAATGTTCAGTATTAATTCGTCTCCAGTTGCAGCCATTTCTCTTTTATGGACTGTGATGCGTTTTTTGGCACTTCGCTTAACATCAAACCACTTTTAAATTTTTTGCCGGCGATCTGTCCTCTGACCCAACAGAAATAACTGTGGTGGGTATCTTGTCTGCAATATTTTTTCTTTCGCTGGCTATCCCAACATTTCACGCACCAAGCAATATTTTCTGGTTTGCTTCAACCTCGCTGATGAGTACCTCGATCTCAGTTTCATAAAAGTTCCTCTTTCTCGTCCTTTTTGCCACGATGATGACGACAGGTGAGGAGGAAAAAGTAAATCTTCACTTGCTTTATAAAGAGGCGTGTTGTTGCCCTATATGGTAATTTGGAGGTGTTCCTGAAGGCAACGTGCACGAGCACGGAGGTTAAGAACAAGTGGGATTTATCAACACTGATGTATGTACGACCCCCTTACACACGTTTGATAAATACAGATTTTTTTGTACTTACGCACACTCTAAATTTCATTCCAATGACAGAATTTGGAACCTTTTCTACGCACTGATGATAAATGAGGCCCCAGATTTTTCAACTTGCTCTTCAGATGCGTGTCTAAAATCGCGTCACACCCGCGTCAAACTTGCTCAATTTGCGTCAATCGCGCCGCACTACTCGTGCGAGTTGCGCCGCGGAGCGTTTACTTGCATCTAATAGCGTCTTCACATTGACTTTACATGTAAATCATTCGTGCGAATGATTTTACTCGGGTCTGGTGTGATCACAGCATAAAACTCCTTTCAAAGGTCAGATTTTCTAAAGTTGCATTCTTCCATTGAGTTAAATTCGATCATCTTGCCATGGGCTTGCTCAAGTAAATCAATTTACAGCCATGTTTCACCTGTTACAAATATGGCTGTGCTTTAGATTTCCAAGTAGCATTGTGATAGTGGGAAACATGGCGTTGCAACTGAGTGGAAGTGTCTGAAGTCATATTGTTATTCAGTTTTTTTTTTCATTAGAAGAAACTTTTTGGAGTTCTGGATGCTATCAATTCCACTGAACCTTTTTCTAAGTGTGTGTTTTTTTTGTTCATTAACTAGTGCGCCACTGGATGAACTTACACTAATAAAGTTTGGTTTTTTGACAAGAATTGCAAAAACTATCTCTACCAATTAGTGTCAGTTAATTGAAAATCTAAAATGCTAAAAGTCACACAGCGAAATGGAGATCATCTGACTGCAGTGAATGTATGTCAAGTGATTGTAGTACAAAGACACCTTTATCTGGAAGGTCAGGTCACTGGTGAATCAATACTCCTGGCTATAACTACACTGGGAAAAAGAAAAGAACACTCCAAGCAGCTCCATGAAATGGTTATTGAAAATTTCATATATAATATATATAGATACATAATATCCCTTCAAGCACAGGTAAATCAATCATAAGAAATGGAATTAATATGGAACATCATAAATCTGCCTAGAGCAGCTGCCACCAAAAACTGAGTGACCGTGCAAGGAATACATTAGTGAGGAAGGCCACCAAGACATCTAATGACTCACCTATATAACTATATATTGACTGTTCACAGCTCTGTGATGTGTACAGAAACACTCACATAGAAACTGGTAGAATAACAGCCTGTCTTTGACCCATGTTATGTGTGGACCAGTCGTGTTCACATCTCACAGAACACCATGGAATGTCTTCATGGGGAGTTTGATGTGGAGCCAGGTAATGGAGGTGACCGCTGTGACTATCTGAGGGAGAGAGGCATTGAGACTTACCTGGTAGTTGTTCCTAAAGGACCTTTGGGAAAGAGTGGCATAAATGGTGTGGTGAGTAAAACCTGCACAAACCCACACTGCAAGCATTTTGATAGTGAAAATCTTACCTATTCTCCCAGATGATGTACAGGACGTGTGATGAAAAATTACATATATTCGCATTTGACTTTGCTTCTTGAAGTTGTGTCATTTTATTTCTATTGCCCAGTATCACAAATTTAAGTCTTTATAATATCTACAGCATACAACACCTGAGGATCACAGACATGCAATAAATGATATGTGTACAGATTAGCATAGTAAAATTGTAATATGGACAGTCAAGATGATAAAATTATAGATGTGTATACTTCTTGGATTGATACAAATTGGATTTGAATATCAATTGAAATTTTAAAATAACTGTCAAAGAAAATTCTGTCAGCCTCTCATAGTAATCAGTCTGCACTTACTGTTTGATTGTTTCACATTAGAAGCTGTCTGTAACCTCATCCAATGGAAACTCCCCACTATTAATCAACACCACAGAGTGTAACGGCAGTGTTAACACAGCCTGCACCACACCGGAGGAACCAGAAGAACTGGACACAAGGGTAACCAAGAAGTGAACTCCTGACCTAAATTAGATGTTGACTTGCACAAGTAAATGTCTTTTACAACTTAAAATTCAAGCCTTGTGGTCTGTGCCAATACTGATTGTATATAATGGTGCGTTGTTCCTACGGCCACTATTTAATAGGGTGAAAGGTATGACCAAAATATGAATTTGCACTGTTGACCAGTTGCAGACTGTTTTGTCATGAGGAGTGCTAAAGTAAAGCTCATAAAGACATAAAACCTACAAGGTTTATATCCGTTGGACATATTTGCAATGAAATGTATGGAACAAATATAATTACATAATATTGACAATTGTCCTGAGTGTGGCACAAGAAGAAAACACATAGAGATTCCACCATTAAAAGAGTTAATTCTCTGGGTCGCATAAATATGTTGAGTAAATAGTCATTTATCTGTCCATCCATTTTCTTTACACGCTTTATCCTCTGTAGGGTCGCAGGGGGGCTGGAGCCTATCCCAGCTGACTTAGGATGAAGGCAGGGGACACCCTGGACAGGTCACCTGTCTATCACAGGGCTACACATAGAGATAGACAACCAAGTACATTCACACACACCTAAGGACAATTTAAAATCACCACTTCACCTAAGCATTGGACCGTAGGAGGAACATCTGCCCAGAATGAGAACATGCAAACTCCATTCAGAAAGACCCCAGGCTGAGATATGAGTCCCAGGACCTTTGAGCCATGAGCTGACAGTAGTAGTCACTGTATCACCATACTGTTTTTGCAATCATTAAATTAGATTTTAATATTTCTAATAGCACTCAAACATTAGATTTAACTTGCTGATATAGTTATATATCAGCAAGTATACAGAGTTCACTCACCTTTGGCCAGAAGGATTTAGTGTATATCTAAAAAGAGCCACTGATTTGTATCAGTGCACATCTTGCAGAATAAAACTGAAGTCAGTCATGTTACAGTCTTTCATGTTGTCTATGTAAGCTTTATCAAGAAGAAGGTGTTTGTCAGCTGGAAATGCTCAGAGGTTTTTTTTGCAGTGAATTAAAGAGTTCCCTGAACAGACAAGCTGACTTACGTAATTGTTGACATGGCATTGATATTGTGTCAGATATACAAAAAGAACGTGTGGATGTTCTAATCTCTTTTCTTTGTCGGACTTCAGGTGGTGAATCCATCTTTCCCTAACCCTCGGAGAAGACTACGGCTGCGAGACCTAGCTGAAAGGGTGATCGACGCTCAGGAAAATGAACAGGAGCTTAACAAACTGCTAAATGAGGCTCTGCTGGAGAGAGAGACAGTTCAAGTGTATGTGAATACATTCTTTGAGCATAAAACACTGCTTTGTAGATGCACACTTCAGTGATGTAGGTTTTCTCATTGTTAGCTTGTGTTTGTGGCTGTCAGAGAATCTGGAACTGACACATTGAGGAAGAATTATTCATTCACCTCATTGTCAGTTATGACACATCGGTATACACTAATCATATAGAAAGCTAATCATTTTCTAAATGAAAGTTGTCCACCATACTATACATTTGTACAAGCCAAAGAGTTTTTCCTACAAAGCCTATTTTTTATTCATAAAGAAGCAAACGTTCTCAAACATCAAGACAGTGAATGATATATGAACTGTACTTGCATAAGATTTTTTTCCTTGACAAGGAAAGCACTTGAAAAATTTTGTTTGTCAATTGACAACAACAGTTTATGAACAGTTCTGTCCTACTCACTGAAAGCAGTGCCTTGCTCAAGGACACTTGATGTGGAGAGGCAGGAGTTGTACCACTGTTCCACTACCTGAGCCACAGCCCCCACTACATGAACTCTGATTAGTAAACTGCACAACACATGCCACAAAGCAAAAATAATTTTTGGGGGCAAGTAGACTTGGCATGTTTTTTTCAAAACACCAAATTGGAACTGCAATATGTGTCATGTTGCTGGAAATACCAGGTAAACTGTAAATTTGTACCAATACCAATATTTTATACTGTATACATAACTGTTGAGGTTCTTGTTTCTCAACAGTCTAAAGGGGAAGCACACCAACAGGCTCTCCCTGAGATTTGTGGATCCAGACCTGGAAACTCGTTACTCTGTGGAGAAGGAAAAACAGAGCGGAGCTGCCTTCTGCTGCTCCTGTGTGGTTCTGCTCTTCACTGCAGTGATGGAGGCACTCATAGATCCCTGGTCAGTCAACAAGCCAGGAGCAATCTCCTCACACTTATGTATCGACAATGTGGGAACATTTGGTTTATGTCACCAACCCAAAGAGCAAAAGAAAAAAAAAAAAAAAAAAAAGGAACGTTTTGCTGTTGGGATGTTCAGACCCTACGCTTTATTTTGCTTATTTCTCTAAAAAAAAAAAAAAAAAAAAAAAAAAAAGGAAAACAGTTCACATTCTTAGGACACAAAGTATAAATTGTCAAAATCAACCTATGTAGTAGTTATTTACTCTGGACTGTGAGTGATCCTTAACTCTTGAGGGCCTCAAACACTTTTGTCCATGTGTTTTGTACAGCTTAGTTGAATATTACTCTCTGTGGTTTTGTATTAGACTCACTGCTGTCAGTGTTACATGTCTCTCAAAGTTTGTCTGTGTGTTGATTTGTTATGGAACAGGCTGATTGCAAATTACATCACCTTTGCAGTGGGGGAGGTCCTGCTGCTTGTCCTGACAATCTGTTCTCTGGCTGCCATCTTTCCTAGAGTGAGTTACAAAATATTTTACTTCTATATATTTTATTTGCACAGTAAATTTTATTTACACGCTTCTTCAGACTTAGTGACACAAAACACAAACAAACTAGACTTCTCTTTTAGGTTCTCAAAGATATTTCACCTCTCATCCAAGAAGATTCTTCAATTCTGACAAGACCACAAAAAGGCGAACCCAAATGCACGACTCCAAAAAACTCAAAAATGTTCTCAAACTGATTTATTTACAAAAAGTATCAACAGAAATGTCATTCAACAAATAAAAAAACCTAAACTCAAAGCGTCACTCTAACGAGGAGAATAAAGAACCAAAAATCACTCAATTGAGGAAATACAAACTAAAAATCACTCAATGAGGAAAACTTAACAATCTTTCTAGACAAAGTAACAACTCAAACATTTCATTTAGGAAAAAGGCTGAACACAAAGTAGCAAACAAAATACAAAACCTGAAGGTCGTTTCCACAAGGGACATGAATGGTGAAATCCTGGACATGAATGAGGGCTAGGACGTGAAGCTTGACTAACTGACAAGACGAACTGGCACAGGACAAAGGGAGACGCAGACTATATATACACACACAAGGTAATGAGGAACAGGTGGAGACAATCAGGGCTGGGTAGACAATCAGACACAGGAAACACCGGGGAGAGGGCAAGCGTCCTGAAACACGAGGGCAAAGAGGTTTCAAAATAAAAGCCACGAGACAACACAAATACAAGACAAAAACCTAAATAAAACCTAACACTTGGTACGAGAAATGACAAATTCTAACTGACTGATGGGGAGTTTCAGAATTTTGTAGTCACTTCAGCTCACAATGACTAATGGCTCATTAATGACCCAGGACTCACATGCCTCAAGGTTTGAAACTGTCAATGTTTTCCCGAATGTGAGTGTGTTCCTTGTCCTTTCCCTCTGCATTGGTAAGGATGCAGTCCCTATCAGTATTAAGAAAGCACTGTGGAACTGTGGCTGTACCAACTGGGCCTTCATTAAATCAAGGAAAATATGTGGAAAACTCGGCACACAGAGAAGAAAGGAAGAACAGAATAACAACACTGTCATCCCAAACTATCCCAAGGATTTTCTCCAAACATAACATATCAGTACATTTCAGGCCCAGTAACACTCTGACACAAAAACTGGTAAAAACTGGTTCACCCCAAGGATCAAACACCAGCATACAAGCGGAGCAACATTGTATATGCAGTCTGATGCAGTGAAGAGGACAACGATGTACACATTTTGGACAGAGAGGACGGATGTTTTGAAAGAAGAGTGAAGGAAACCAACTATGTCAAATTGAAACAGCCATCTCTAAACAGAGGAGGAGGTGACTATAAAATTTGGAAACTCCTCGCCAGTTGAAAATTAAAAAGTGTTTTGGATGAGAGTTGAAATGTAAGAAGTGTCTTGGATGAGAGTTGAAATGTCTTCAAGAACCTAAAAGAGAAGATCCTAAGATTACCATGACCTGGTGGACCCAGAATCTACACAGACAAAACACAGAGAACTGGTAGCAATTTTTTGACCATTTATTCACTTTTGCTTAAGCCTCGGTCACAACCGGACGCACAACTTTTGGGATCGTACGTCCTCTGCGAATTTTGGGTCCCATGGAGACCATGGAGGGCATAGAGGTAGAGAAAAGGTTGCAAGGGCTCTGTCAGAAATGCGTAAGAGAGGAGCAAGTCTGCCTTGCCGGTTGTCGGGGCGACGTGACATGTCCCTTCAAGCAGGGACTCTAATTGCAACCTGCAATTGCTGTGGAAATTGTACTCACTTCTAAAGTTTGTCTTGCCACTTGCGTACATGGCACACACTCACCACTTAGGAAGAGAGTGGAACGCACAAAGAAAGTCAGTCACACTTGCCTCACGCCCTGGTGATGACCAACTGACGGCGTACATAAGTTTGCCGTGATTGTCAAAAAACAAAACAAAAACAAAACAGAGACACTTCGTGATGATGCTGTCTTGTAAATTCTGTTAACATACTGACAGGGTTTGAGCTTCAGGACGTTCCGTCATCACGGGGCGATAAAAAATAAATCCGGGATGATACAAACTGATTTCAGGACAAAAGTTAAGACTTTATAACAAATGAGGATGAAAATAAATATGATTTCATGTTCTGTGTAGCACACACACACAGATCCTGACAACTTGGCGGTGACAGCTCGCCTGCAGTGTCACTGTCAACCCCGGTACTGACTTCCAGCTGATACCGGCCAGCAGCATCTCCAGTGACCGACCCGCTTCTCCAACGGAGACACGTACTACCTGTAACACCGTATATTCTTTTACACATATTCGCTAATGATTACTTTTTAAAAACAATATTATGTCCCAATAAAGTGTGAGATCTGGACATCAGCGATAAAACCAACAGTCGCGCTGTGTGTGTGTGTGTGTGTGTGTGTGCGCGCCAATGGCGTAGCTACCGCCGGTGCAGGCGGTGCAATGCACCGGGGCCCTTGTGCCGTAGGGGCCCACTCTTGGGCCAATGTGATGCCAATACAGTGGCAGCCTCCTTCAGCAATATTTGCACAGCATTTCTTTGTATCTTACCATACTCATCACTGTTGCGACTGAGGAGCGCTCTTTTTCTAAGCTCAAACTCATGAAAACATATTTGGGCACTATGGGACAGGAAAGACTCAGTGGGTTGGCAATGCTCTCAATAGAGAACAACAGAGCCAGGAATTTCGATTTGAGAGATGTTGTCGGCGACTTTGCTGAGCAGAAGGCCTGCAGGACGAACTTTTAATGGATGAGTACAGTTTAGTGTGTATTATGCATTGGGATCAGTGATTTGCTAACTGAGTTGTCACGTCTGAATGTAAGAAAACGCTGCTTTTTTCTTTTTCTGTGTGTGTGAAAATGTTTGGCCGCTGAGCCATTGATGATGAATAATGAGTGTGATCAGATGCAGCGTTTGAGGCAGTGGCAGCAGAAACAGCCCTTGCACTGAAACATGCAGTCGTGCCAGGTAGCGCTGTGCTGTCCAGGGTCGTGAACTGTACATCTGATTAGATTATGATATATCCATTATTTGTTTGAAGCAATTATGCGGTCTACGATCACTGCCGAAAGGTGAGCGTGCGCTGTGAGCACGCCTTTTTTACTGGTGGCGTGGGGTGATGCACGTCCACCGAGCGTTAGATTTTGTTCATGAGTTGTCACTGTGTACACCATGCACAAGGGGCACTGGCTCCCTCATTGCGTGAGACGTGCGACTTAGAGCATGGATATTCTTCCCACGGTGCCTTACAAATTTGCATGTCTCACTTGCAAACTCCTGGCGGGGGAAGCAAGTTACACTTGCTGCGTTGCTGTTCGCAGAGAATTCGTAGAATGTGTTTGACATGTCAAAGCTCCTCCCTACTTGCTTACGGGCTGTCTGCGACCTCGACATGCACGTACCATTTTGCACGTATTTTGGACGCAGACAGGCCGTAGGAGCCTGTACAGCCGGTTGTGACCGAGGCTTGTATTGTATAGACAGAGTAACTCAATTGTGCCTTGAGTTGTGTTTGTATTAACTGTCTAGAAAGAAACAGATGGTATTTCCTAAACCATCTGTTTCTTTCTAGACACTTAAGATCTTCCCCTGAGCTTGACAGAAAGGGACTACATGTATGTAGTCCCTTTCTGTCAAGCTCGAGAGAAGATCTTTGTTAGTGTCATGTCTGTGTGTTAAGTATTGACAAATGACAAATCATGGTTTTAGGGGAGACTTACTGAAACCATGTAAAGCCCCACAGGTAGAGCATGTAAAGATGAATAACAGTCAATCCAGTGACTGTGTGCAGCTTTGTAGCAAAGATGTTCATTTTGTCCTCAAAGTTCAAGTAGACTTAAGAATTTCTTTGTAATAGGACAATGGTATGAAGTTGTGAGCTGTACCTTGACATGTTTCGGCGTTCCATCTGTCGCCTTCTTCAGAAGTGTCATCTGATGTGTGTGACGTGTCTTTATCAGCTGTTTTTCATACACGTCAGATGACACTTCTGAAGAAGGCGACAGATGGAACGCCGAAACATGTCAAGGTACAGCTAACAACTTCATACCATTGTCCTATTACAAAGAAATTCTTAAGTCTACTGTGTGCAGCTTTATTTGAGTCTCATCAGCAGAGACGGGTTGCCAAGTTTGTAAATGTACAGAATCTAACACATGAACCAATTTTTACTGGAAATACTCTGCAAAAAAGCAACTGTAGCTGGGCTAATCTCAAGCTGCTCATAACACTCACTCATGCTAAAAGTTGCTCAGTTAGTTGTTCTGACATTGAACACATGCAGTGCCATTGACTCTGTCTGTCTGTTTGTCTGTCTGTCTGTCTGTCTGCGTGTGTGCTTGTGTGTGGTGAGAGAGTGTGTTTGTGTGAGAGAGTGCGGGTGAAAGTGTAAGTGCATGCAAGCATCCGTTCCTGTTTGTGTGTATATGAGTTTGTCTGGTATTGACCAGTACTTTTGATTTAACTCGTCACGGAAATTCAAACATATTGATATCCAGCAGGCAGTCCAGTATTGACTGCTGCTGAATTAAGGATAAAGTTAGCTCAGGTCAGACAGCAACACACACAGTCAGCAAATCATTGACATGGACTGAAAAAATGCAGGGTCACTGTACATCCCGCTTTGGGCTTTTCAGTACTTATTGATATTCCATCAAACACACAGTGTCATGAACCTGCAGTAACAGTAACAGAGGCATAGAGGCACATGCCTTAATGTGTTCATCTTCACACTATACTTTTACCAGCTACAGGTCTCTTCACTGCAGAAATGTTGACTCACAGGTAAAGTACTGATAAAAATAATAGCATTATCTATGGCTCCATTCTTTTAAGATGCCCTAGTTTCAAAGCTATGGTACCGTGCAAGACGACTGGGACACCCACCTGGAATGTTGCCATCCTTTATGCTGATATTAATTCCACTTCGGCTTTTCTTGCCTTAACAAGTCAGAATGGCTGCTGTAAAGTAAAATAAGCATAAGCAAGTGTGTAGCTGCACAGGTCTAATGAAAAAGGCCACGCTTCGTACCGATGTTAACAGAGGTATATTCTTAATTCTTCTCTGTCTGTCCCTTCGGTAAACACCACGAAAACTAGACACAATAAACAAATGCACATTAAAAACAGACATTTGTGGATCTTTCAGTCTCTCTGTTAGCACAGTCAGTGAACAGGCTCGGTGAGTTAGCATACAAATGCACCAAAAAACACACCACAGAAACCTGTATAATATTGTCCGCGCAAAATCATACCACATTATACATGAAATATAAACCAAAATAAAGATAGTTACCGTATGCGCCTCTTAGACCACATGCAGAATGGTGATAACTTGCGTTATGTGTCTCTGTTACATCCCATGTTGATTCTGACCCACAATGCTCTCTTGACCTTACCAAAGGTTAGTCACATGACCTGACTTGTCAAAATAAAACTCTAATAAAGAGTACCTAACTTTTTAACTAAAACTGAACTTTAAAGTGATCTGTTACCATTTGTACCCTTTTTAACTTATTCCATTTTTACCTCAGTTTTTAATTATGTATGAACAATAAAACAATGAATTGACAATCGAACACAAATTAAACACACATCACAACCTGTCTCTTTAAAGCTTATTGGTACAATTTTTGTCACATTGAGAGTGCATCTATCACTGGTTTTTCTGTCAGGTTTTTCCCAAGAAGCTGGTGTCTTTCTCCACCTGGATTGACCACACTCGTTGGGCTCGTAACACCTGGGCCATGGCAGCCATATTCATTCTCACTATGGCTGACATCATGGATATGGTGAGCTGGTCACTGCACTCTCTTATGTTTGCAACAGACTAAACCAAGAATTTATATTTATTCTATGTGTAAATTTGTGTGGAATATAAAACTTACACTAAATGCACCTAGTTTTCAATGAGCAGTATTGAGCACAGAGGCTGCTTGTATGTCATAGAAAACTACAGCCAGGAAAGTGGACAGAAGCGCATAGGAATTCTAGATGTTGCTGATGACAGACAGCTGAGCACAGTAAGAGTACAATTTTAGAAGCCAATGAGCTCATTACTTCATGTTTCTCTCCTGCCTAGCTGAGTTGTCTGCCTCAAGTCCCAGATTCCAGCAGCACCACAGTTCCTCCATTCTCTTCCTCTTCCACGTGGGCCGGTCTTGAGGGTTGCCTGAACAACCCCAAATATTACAGCTACATTGCTGTGCTGGCACTGATGGCCACCAATATGCTGGTTCAGGTCAGTCACATGGTGAAGCTCACACTGATGCTGCTCATCACAGTGGCCACTGGTATCGTTAACATCTACAGCTGGAAGGACATCTTTGACCACTACGACATGGCCCGCTTCCAGGACTACAGGTGAGTCAGAAATGAAGCCAATACCGTCTGTGTAAAGCAGAAGTCATTACACATCTAGTAGCACTCTGCACACCAAACTCTTTGTGACATTAGTGTGTGTGCTGAAGTCTTCATGTAATCATGTGTTTGACATTTTAAAGGAAAATTCTGGTTTATTTCAACCCGGTCTATTTCTTAAATTTTACATAAATCATTTTTAAGGTTTGTTTACAGTCTGACTGAAAGTAAACATGGAAATTACCCACCTGGAATAACTGCATTTTGGATCTCTGTCTGGGCCAATTTGCCAGCTGACCTATCACCAGAATGTTCATTCATGCCCACTGGTGGCGAGCACAGGGTTAGCATGACTCATAGGCGCATAGCCACAGTAGCTATATTAATGAGAAATATCAAGGCTGAAATTATGGCTGGAATTATCCTTTAACATACAGTGAATGAAGTATTGTAGTTTTTCAAACACTACATTTGCAGCATAAGTTGCTAATTTGTCAGTTTTCTAATTTGCAGGTCATATCTGGTGCCCTCCAAGTTCACAATGACAATTATGATCTTCATTATGATGGGCAGCTTCTATTATTTCTCCAGACATGTAAGTTAATGTCTAATGTGTTTACTATACCTTAACAATATAGAGAAAGTTAACAAGTTTAGCAGCGTAGGAATGTTGTTAGAGGACCCAAAACAATTAAAAGTACAACTGACAACAATGCATCATCAGGGCAGTGCCGGCTATGTATCAACGTGGCCTAAGACAAGAGAATGTTGTACCTCACCATCCAGTGGGATCAAAGCTTATTCGTGAGGAAGAATTACATAATTACTATGCTTTGCTTAAGAAGAAATCCGGTGTGAGAAATCAACTATATTAGAAAAGAATTAAAGAATGAACTTATAATTGTTGAAACGTCAGTCTCTCAAACTAAAGACAGAATTATGCTGAGCAAGAGAGTTACCAAAAAAATTAATTAATTGTAAGCCCAACCCAGTCTCACGACAGTTCATGAAATAGTCATGAAACTTAATCTATTGATTCGTGTCCAGGGACACGAATTGCCCAAATTTTTTGTGTCACCAGCTACAAATTTCAAACTGATACATTTCAATTGGACTTATCTTTCGTGGCTGGGCCAGGTTTTTTTCCCCTGTTAGACAGTGCATATGCTGTGATGTTTTATTATTATTATTATTATTATTATTATTATTAATAGTATTATTATTAATAATAATAACAATAATAATAATTATTATTATTATTAATAATAAGAAGAAGAAGAAGAAGAAGAATAATAATAAGAAGAATACATTTTATTTAGAGGCGCCTTACACAAATTTTTGTCGTTCTTTTCTTTAGACAGTCAGGCATTAATCAATTTTACTGTTATGGCCCATCCACACTAATAACTATAGAGATCACTATAAAGATATGTGCGCCCACGCTGACGAACGTTAACATTCTATAAACACCAGTGCTGAGCAGGTACTGTGTGCTTCAACTGCGTATAAACTCCATATCCATTCAAATAGAAAAGCCAAAAAATATCCAGGCATTTTCTGGATGAAGTGAACACACATTAATAATATTCATGGTTACATTTTTGGCTTAAATGTTTTTAAAAGTTAGTAACGTGATATATGAACAGAGCTAAAGCCAAATGTTCAGCAGCGATCTGACCCTGCAGTGTTTCTTCTACATTCATTTAGGAGTGGCAGGCCACCATTCCTAAATCCTAGCCGCCGCTCCTTCAAATTTCTTTTTTTTTTTGGTCGCAAATACACCACCGCCACATGTCTCCACCTTCACAGCAGAGTCCTGCGCTGGGTCGGGTACTTGCGACTACTACGGTAAACTACACATAACGATCTTGCTCAGTTTCTACTCTTTGGGGGGTTAATACAACGTTAATTACTTGCGAGCATTAAGGTAAACAACAGATTACTATCTTGCTCAGTATCTACTTTCTGGGAGTTAATACAACATGAATTGCTCGCAAGAGCGTGGTCTTGAAAGGGACCCTGTTTATTCCACTGATAGAAAAGACTGCATGAGAAAAAAATGACTCTTGGACAAATCTGACATAAGAACACCCTAGTTTACTCTTTTTCAAGCATATTGAAGATGTCTACATAATTGGGATTATGATAACAGGCTTCCTGCTGTTTGGAGTTCGCGGGTTTCTGTTTTATCGCAAAGTTCGGAAGGCGATGGCAGCACTTTCAGCAATTGAGAAGCTGCCCATCATTGAGAGAGCGGTTCGGGCTGCCAACACTTAATCGCAAACTGGATGGGATTCCAGAACTTATTCACAAGATGGGTACCAACTTGGAGCAGTTTGACAGACCAATCCGGATGTAATAGTCCATCAAATTCGGCTTTTTGGATCACAGAGAGAACCAGTGGGACTTTCAGACTGACGTTAAATTGCAAAGTCGGCCTGACCCACAGCAATCTTCGTTATCTTCATTCGGCTCCCCCACTTCGGCCTTGGTAGGCTGATATCTCTCCACTTCTCCTGGATGTTATGCAGACAGATGCTCGGCCCCTCCCCACCCCCCTCCTTGTCCTGTGAACTTTGTCTCTGGATCAGAATTCTTCGAGGTCGTCTCCACGGCAACGGCCTTGTCTCGTCACCAGCATCAGACGGCAGAGACAATGTTGAGTCTGGGCGAAGTCCATGGACTTACACATACAAAAACACGAAGACACACAACACACACACCCACTGGACTCAACACCTTGGTTGGCTCCCCAAATCCTCTCCCTCCCTCGTTACAGAGCAGTCTGCTGCGAGCTGATGCGATGCGCTCGCGTGGCTGCGCGCTCCCCCCAGTGTCTGAGCTGTGACACCTCCCCTCCCCAGCACCCTTCCCCCTCCGACATGTGCAAGTCTTGAGTTTTTGTTGTGATGTTTTTATTATGTTTCTTTTGTGCTGAGGTGTTTTTTTTCCTAATCCCACACTGTGCCCTCCCTAGAGGAACGTAGTTTGGGAATTCCCTTTTTTCCCTCGTTTTCCCTCTTGTTTTCCATTTCCTATCTAATGATAAGGGGCAGTGCTCATGCTGGCTGACCCGACAGTTCTCCCTCTTGTCTCCCCGTTATTGGTCATTGTCTTTTTATGTTTCTTGGCCGGGATGTAACTATAAACACAATTTCCCTAAGGTACCCTACCATCTCATCTCATCTCTTCTCTTCTCTTCTCTTCTCTTCTCTTCTCTTCTCTTCTCTTCTCTTCTAAGTCACGTTTGGTCGCACACCTGTCTGAGCACCGCAGCCACCAACAGCAGCTACCGCAGCCTGCTATGTGGGGCGTTCAGGGAACATCATAAATTGTAGAGTCTATTGATAAGAACATGTTCAGCCAGTCATGTGTTTTGCCTGTGACAAGGTGGGAAGTGCGAACAAATGAGAAAGTTGGTCACACAGATTTAAAAAAAAAAAAAAAAAAAAGAGTTAAGTTCTTTGGAGGTGCCAGATTTGAACCAACTAAGCACTGGAACTAGCACCCGCATGGAACAAGTACCTGGTTCTTGTTGGTGGAAAGGGGTAGAGTCGGAGGAGGGTCGTCTTGGAGAATAAGGCAGTGACTTACTGGAGAAAAGGTAGACTTACACACGTGGACAAAATTGTTGGTAACCCTCGGTTAATGAAAGAAAAACCCACAATGGCCACAGAAATAACTTGAATCTGACAAAAGTAATAATAAATAAAAATTCTATGAAAATTAACCAATCAAAATCAGACATTGCTTTTAAACCGTAGTTCAACAGAATTATTTAAAAATAAACTTATGAAACAGGTACCCCTAACTTAATATTTTGTTGCACAACTTTTTGAGGCAATCACTGCAGTCAAACGATTTCTGTAACTGTCAATGAGACTGCAGGTATTTTGGCCCAATCCTCATGAGCAGACTGCTCCAGTTGTCTCAGGTTTGAAGGGTGCCTTTTCCAGACGGCACATTTCAGCTCCTTCCACAGATGTTCAATAGGATTTGGATCATGGCTCACAGAAGGCCACTTCAGAATAGTCCAGTGTTTTCCTCTTAGCCATTCTTGGGTGTTTTTAGCAGTGTGTTTTGGGTCATTATCCTGTTGCAAGACCCATGACCTGCAACTGAGACCAAGCTTTCTGACACTGGGCAGCACATTTCTCTCTAGAATACCTTGATAGTCTTGAGATTTCATTGCACCCTGCACAAGACACCCTGTGCCAGATGCAGCGAAGCAGCCCCAGAACATAACAGAGCCTCCTCCATGTTCCACAGTAGGGACAGTGTTCTTTTCTTGATATGCTTCATTTTTGCATCTGTGAACATAGAGCTGATGTGCCTTGCCAAAAAGTTCCAGTTTTGTCTCGTCTGTCCATAGGACATTCTCCCAGAAGCTTTGTGACTTGTCAACATGCAGTTTGGCAATTTCCAGTCTGGCTTTTTTATGATTTGTTTCCAACAATGTTGTCCTCCTTGGTCGTCTCCCATGAAGTCCACTTTGGCTCGAACAACGACGGTTGGTGCGATCTGACACTGATGTACCTTGACCTTGGAGTTCACCTTTAATGTCTTTAGAGGTTGTTCTGGGCTCTTTTTTTTTACCATTCGTTTTATCCATCTCTTTGATTTGTCATCAGTTTTCCTCCTGCAGCCACGTCCAGGGAGGTTGGCTACAGTCCCATGGATCTTAAATTTCTGAATAATATGTGCAACTCTAGTCACAGGAACATCAAGCTGCTTGGAGATGGTCTTACAGCCTTAACCTTTAACATGCTTGTCTATAATTTTCTTTCTAATCTCCTGAGACAACTCTCTCCTTCGCTTCCTCTGGTCCATGTTTAGTGTGGTACACACCATGTTACCAAACAGCACAGTGACTACTGTAACCTTATAAATAGGCCAACTGACTGATTACAAGTTTGTAGACACCTGTGATGCTAATTAGAGGACACACCTTGATTGACCTTTTTTTTGCAAGTCCAAGTCAAGTCTCAAGTCTTTGTGGGGTGAGACTTGGTCAAGTCTGAAGTCTTTAGTCACAAGTTCAAATCAAGTCTCAAGTATCTAAAAAAAATCTCTCATGTCTCTTCTTGTTTTAATGATGTTATGCCCCGGTCTACGGGAACCTTTGGCATAACATGAGTTTGCTCCACCAGTCTTTCCACTTCAAAGAAGGCCAGCAATCAGACAAGCCAAGTATCAAAAATGAACAGTTTCTTTATTTATTTTTTTTTAGTAAAGAGGGGGACATAGGCCAAAATAACAAACAAAACACACTCTACATTAGCCCTGACTTCCCTATCGAAAAGAAAAAGCAAATAAAAGACAATAATCTTACCTACCGACCGTTTTGGATTTTTCAGTTGTTTTAGTTTTTATTTCATTTTTACTTTTTGTTTTCAAATTCAGTTAGTTTCAGTTAGTTTTTTTTAAGCAGATTTGCTCGTTTTTATTAGTTGTTTTTTTTTTGAACATACTTAGTTTTAGTTTAGTTTTTATTAGTTTCAGTGTTAGTTTTCCTTTTTTTTTTTGTAAATTAGGGTCTTTGTCAGGTGTTACATTCAAAATTGTCAGAATATGTATTGTATAAGAAAAACTCAA